CATATATATATATTATATATAATATATATATATAATTTTGACATTTATCGTCCTTATTGCTTCTGTGAAGTCCTTCTTTCAGGACGAGAAGGAGCTGGAGGAGGAGGTGAGTGTGTTTTCTGCTTCTGATCAAATGAAATGTGTGCCAGCACAATGGATGGCAGCGCGTGCACGTGAAGGTGGCTGCTCCTGCTTCATTTGACAGATTCTTCGTCAGTCAAAGGAAATACGCATCTACAAAATGCAAATAAAAAAAAATCTACTTTTTTTTTATTTATTTTTTTAACGGAACAATCAAAATGCTTTATATTTAAAATAATAATAAATAAAAAAACAGTTAAAATTGGTTCAAAAAGAATTAAAATAGAAGTCAAAATGTTTGGTTTTTAAATCATTTAAATATTTGTTGCTGCTCACGTCTATTTTCAATTTAAAACCATGGACATGTGTGCACAGCATGGTTGTATGAGGCTTGGGGGTGGGGGGGGGGTGTCTGGGTTGGCACAGGGAGGCTGTTTGGGCCCCCGCAGAGCTGCAACAATATGGGCAGATTTTGAGGGACAAAAGCTCAGGAGCTTTGAGCTGCTGAGCACGTCTCTGACACCAGAGCCACGAGATGCTGCTGCAGCACGAGGCCTGCAGAAGTTTCTGTGCAGCCAACAGGTAGCAAAGCTCTGGGTCCACCAGGAAGGTTCATGATGATGAATGAAGCTGAAGGTTACTCAGCAAAGAAGCACATGCAACACAAAGAAGAGCATGAGCTTCAAATGGGAACGTTGAGATTTGTATTTAATGAACGAACACAATAACCTTTGGAGATGTCACTAAAATGGTTCATTTTGAGACTTTTATTTTCTCACCAGCCTTCATTTGCAGCGTTTTCATGAATAAAACAGATCAAATCAAATGTTGGACTGCTGTGGTTTGGACCTGCGCCAGCAGTCCCAGCTGGTTTTTGGATGATGTTTCAGCAAATAAACGAAGAGAATTTAATTCCAAGCTCACGTGCGACCTAAACCTTCAAGCATTTTTTTGTTGTTGTTCTGGGACGGATCAAAACGCTGACAGAAGGTTTGCAGCTCGAAAATTGTCGCCATGTTATTTTCTCGTTGCCTCTATAACGCTTAAATTTAGTCTAATCAAATATCTGGGAAAAGTGAATTCAGAATTTTCCTGGGAAAAAAAAAATCTTTCAAGTTGAATCATTTATCAGGTGTTTCCTGATATATATTTGTACTTTCAATAATAATACAGTCACCCTCATCATATTTGAGGTCAAATAAAACCGAGCTGCAAATTAAAACTAACATTTTCATCTGAAGCGTTTTCTGTCTTTCCTGCTCTCTCTCATGTTTTTGTCCTTCTGTTGTCGTTGGCGGGACATTTTTGTGGCCACGGACCCACTCCTGCAGGTGTTCGGCTGTGTGGCCTCCGCTCCCTCTGCTGTCCAAGCCACATCTGAGATTGAAACGATGCAAACAAAAGAAGCATGACCGGAGTATGTCGTCATGGGATTTTAATTTCACGAGGGTCATTGGAACCTGCATAAAATGAGAAAAGATCAGACACGGTGAAAATGAATAACTTGTTCTAAACTGGTTGGAGACGTCTGTTGTGGAGCCTGGCACCACCTGAGACAGGTGTTCAAAATGGTTGTGCTTTAAAAAAATACTATAAAATATGTGTTTCTTGTTTTAATATCTTGAGTTTAGCATTTTAGCTTTAGCAGATCTAATTTGATCTAATTTATAGTTTTGCGTTAAAGGAAATGAAGTAAGTTTATATTTATATTTATGACCTTGACTGTCAGTGATTAAACACGTTTATTTCTGTCCCTCGGCTCTTTGTGTGCGTTCTGCCGACAGAAGGTTCAAGGTTAGTCTGACATGTTTGCAGTGAGTGATAAAACAATGGTTCCAGTTCTGAGGAGTCTTTTATGTGTTGGCCTTGACTGGTTTGACATTCATTGTCCTGGGCCATGAATGGTTGTCCCCGTAGCAGCAGCAAGTCTTCTGAACGAGTTTCCCTGGACGTGTGTGGAGAGGATCGGTTCTGATCAGGCTGGAAACTCAAACAGATCCAAACAGATCTCTTCAGCTCAGGTCACATGCGTTGGATGAAACCAGTATAGCTGCTATTAGACGTCTGTACTGGTTCTTCTGTAAATCTCTTTATTTTGTCTTAAAAATGATTAGTGATAAACTAAATGTAATACAGTCAAATCATCAGGATTTTTTTTAATAGTTGTTTTTTTTTACACATTTGACCAAAAGCAGCAAATTCTCACATTAAATCCAAGACAACGGATTCTTTAAACTTTAGATGTTGATTCCGTAATAAAATAATTTCTTAACATTGTTTGATTCACTTCTCTTTGGAAAATGAACAACCGGTGCCATTTAAAGCATTCAAAACTACATTTTGTCCAAATGTTAAAGCGTCAATATTAATGTTTTAATATGGTGCTTTTGCTGATAATCAATTGATAATAACCGAGTCAGAAGTTCTGAAAAGGTTCACCTGCATGGAGGCATTCTGTTTTCTTTTAGGATCCTATTATTATAAAAGATATTACCTTAGATAAAAACTCTTTTAATTATAAGAATGACTTTAACACAGCAGATTAAAATAAAATGTAAGACTACATAATTATGCGTCAAGTTACAGCTGTTGATTAGAAATGAGCTGCTGCTTAAAAGACCAGAAGCTTTGATTCGATTAGTTGCAATCCTTTAAATAATTAATTTTAAAGAACATATAGGAAGCAAATGACAAACGCAGGGAGCAGCGCTGGGGGGTGTCAGAGGCTTCCCCGCCACCATGGCCTGCAGGAATGGCCTGATGGGTGCTAATGAACTTGGGATGTGCCACAACAATACCGAGCGGGCCCCGGTGCTCCTCGGTTCCCATGCAGCGACTGGAACAGGGAGAGAGAAGTGGTGACGCGAGGAGGAGGAGGAGGAGAAGAAGTGATGCGGGGGTGAGGAGGGTAGGGGTCGGATGGATGGGGCACAGCCCATTGTGCCCGGTCCTTAGCCCATTAGCCACCACTAACCGCTCCACTTTCCCAAGTAGAGCTGAGGACCTGCCTGCCCGCCCGGACTCCGTAACCAGGCATCCGTGCGGGGGGGGGAGGAGGGGGGAGGAGGAGAGAAACAGTAGCTGGATTTAGAGTTTGATCTCCAGGAAAGCGTCCAAAATTTGGCGTGAAAGAAAAAGGGGAGCCCTGGACATTAGCAGGCACAGGGAGCGAGGGGGAGAGGGAGAGAGCCCCCCCCCGACAACAAACCAGGAGCTGACAAAGTTGTCTCTTTGGCAGTCGCGCCTCCTATTGAAGCTGTAATTTATTCAAAGGAGATTTTTATCCTCGCGATCTGATTATTATGATAATCAAGTGACCCAGACCTCCTTTCTTGGCTCTTGTCTGCGGACTCTGGGCCCGGCGGTGACAGTAAAAGCTGATTTGCACGGTCTTCACCCCCCCCCCCCCCCCCCCCCCCTCCCATGGTCACATTCCTGGACTCCTGTGCATCAAAGGCGCGCACAATGAGAACAGTGGATGTGCGCACTTGATCCAGGCGCATGAGCGGAGGCCGCGGTCTCTGCCGGGGGCTTTGTGTCAAACGAATACTAGTAGCCATACAAGATTACACGAAACTTTTTTTTTATATATATAATCCCACATGGACCCAACTGGGCCCTAAACGACGCACTTGATGGGGGCTGTGTGAAACTCCAGCCTCACAATGAGGCGGAGGACATGCGCGTTTGAAAGCGTTTACGCAGCCAGCAGACTGTTAATTAGAAAATCAATTAAGATTCTGATCCTTACATTTTTATCCTTACATCGCTGAAATCTATTTTTGATGTTACTTCTACAAATGAAAACAAATAAAGATTCAATTCGGATTCGGATGTTCAGGTTAATACGCTGAGTCTTGTCGCGTCAATTTTCATACAGAGGGTGGGGAGCAACAAACAGACCTGCATTGTGTCATAAAGGGGAGGGTCTTTGTTGGCGGTGCTATATGTCTTTAGATCCGTAATGTTTTAAGTTCATAACGTCTCTGACGACGCGGGCAATGGCGAGGACGGCGCGCGGAGGAGAGGGAGAGGAGGAGGCGGCGTCCTCCTCTGTCAGAAATAAGAGGGACCATAACAAAACAGGGAGGGGGTGGTGGGGAGGGAACGTTCTGAGAGAAGCTGAATGGATGGAGCCAGAAACACGTCACTGGCAGCCGCAGCCATGAAGAGCGCGCGCTCCAGCCTCCGGCGAATCAGTTGCTCTCAGTCTCCGGAGACGGTCGCTTCTCGCCTTTGGAGCGCGGATCCTGCAGCGGCTCGCAAGCGACGACGTGAGTATGAAATGCCATCTTTGTTTCCTTCAAGGGACAGGGCGCACAACGAGGCAGCGGCGTCTGCAAGATATCAGCTAAAAATGATGATGAGAGAGAGAAACAGCGCGTCTGCATCCGCGCCGGGTGCATCCACAGCATACATAACGGAGCTGGATGCGCCTGTATGTGCGCGAACATGGGTGCTGCTCGAGCACCAGCTCATCGGATTGTGTCTTCCTTTGCTCGGTTCAGACGCTGCAGGGAGTGGAGTGTAAGTGATGTTTAAAATTAGGGCTGAGGAGAGCCGTGATGTTTGGCACATTCCTAATTTTCAGTCTGCTCGAAGAGCTCTTTTCGACTGATGGCGCACAGGTGCTGTGAAAGGTCACAAGCAGGGTGAAACGGAGCAGAACAACTTCTAACTGGATGTGCTTTGTCACGAAACTCCTTCCCTCAGTGTCAGGGACGCACTGTGCCAACACTTCATTTGCGCCATTCACTTGGAGCCAAAAAGGGCCAGAAATGCGCCTTATTTCTAATCCACCCGACACTTAAGGGTCACTGTGGTTCCACCAGCTCTTGATCTGGGGGTGGGGGGGAACATTCAACAACGTGTTTTATCCTTGTACAGCCATGTGGCCCAGATGTGAGGATTATCAGACAAACCTGCGATGATGCGTAATACGACAAAGTATTCACACCCATGCCGGATAAAAGCATCACAATGCCAAATATCCCGCGCGCACGTGCAGAGTACAGGCCTGTGCCGAGAACACGTGGTCTCCCCCAGGACTGAGAAAAGGAGCTTTAAATATGGGATAGGATAAATAACTCAAAATGATAAAAAATAAAAAAAAAAGAAAAGAAACTTGATGAAAGTCATTTCGAGCCACGTGAATCAAAACCAACGTTTGATTAAAATTATTTTGAAACTCTACCCTGGTTTTATTTTGGATTGATGCATAATTTTCAGAATATTCTTAAAAATCTCACCTCACCTCTAACACCCTCCCACATGTTCACACACTCTCCACAGATGAATAAAGCTGTGCGTGTGTGTGCCGCGGCGACGTGTGCGTGTGTTGTGGTGGAAATCCTCCACAATAAGATGTGATGAGAACCAGGCCGCTGCAGAATCAGGACTGAAGTTGTGACCCATCATCTTTTTGTCTCTAAAAGTGTTTGGGGATGACGTCATTTACAGACTGTCTTGTCTGAATGCAAAGTTGAGCAACTTGGTCTTGTGTGAAAAATTAAAGGAGCGTATGTTTATGAAGGGACCCAGTGACCTCACAGCACGTGGCTCGGACCTTACAGGTGACCACCTGCTGGTGCCAGGCTGAAAATCTAAACTTTAGTGCAGGAAAACATTGGATATGGTTTGAAATAGCCATGAGTGGAAACAAAATTAAGTCTCTTTAAAGTAAATAATTAATGAAAGACTCGGTTTTCCAAAGAGACAGCGTCAAGATAAAAAACAAAAAGAAATAAATACATCACTAAACTGCGTAGAAGAAAACAGTTTAATTTGGCACCAAATTTGGAGAATAATTTTTTTAACAGTTTTTTTTTTTTTATTGAGTTGCACCCCCCCTCCCTCATATTTAGTGTGACTCACTCATTTCAAAGCTCATAAAACAAATTCAAAGTTCACTGCAAACAAATGATCTCACTGTTCAATCTGGTTATTTCTGCACCTCTTTCATAATGCGGTAAAATGATTTATCAAAACATCTGTAAAAAAAAAAAAGAAGTGTTAATCCAAACTGCAGGATTCAGTCTGAGACACAGAATGAATCGTTTGGTTTAAAACTGATGATAACATGTGATATTTTATATCAGGAATAAGTTTATCCCTGGTCATCTTTACGTCTTTTGTCTCCAATTAGAGGCGCCAATTTAATGACGTCATAAGTTCTGGCCAATAGCAATGCCTGATTAGGTTCGTTTAAATGATGGAGACCAAAACGGCAACCTTCTTATGTCTGCTTTAAACTACAACACTCTATTTGTTTAAATTATTTATACATTAAGCAAATTTTAACATGCTTTTATTTAAAAAGTATTTTTGAGGTGAAATGTATCACGTGATCTGTGATAAAGTCATTGCTGTGTAAATTTAACAAACACGTGAAAATAAAGCAGAACACAAAATGTAATAAAGTGTTAAGACATGGCAAAATATTGACACTAAATAACTTTTATAATCTTGATCAAACTTACATATATGCCAGAGTCAATACAGACACTAGTAATAAAAGAAAAAATGGGTTTAATCTACTTAACAATTTTTTTTAACTTGAAATTGTCCAAATATATCTACTTAAAAACCTTTAAATTTACAGTAGACATTGACTTTTTTCTATAATAATTTAGCATTGCTAATAAAAATAATAACTGAAATTTTAACAAGTAAGGACATAAAAATTTGCAAAAGATTTTTAGATGAAAACAAATTAAAATGTTTAAAACGTGCTTACCTTTAAATATTTTAAAAAGCATCGGCTGCAAAATTATGACGACATTTTCTATTTGGAATATTTTTAATCTCATTTTGTGTATTTTGCTAAACGTGTGACTGCCTGTACTGTATTAATGCTCATTTAAGCTGAAGAGTGGGTCACTGTGTGCAGTACTACTGTGTAATTATGCACTAAGCATGTGAAAGGATTCACACATTGTGTGTGTGCGTGCACGTGGTGTGTAAGCATGTGCTTGAGCGTGTGTGTCTTGCAGAAATCTGCGACTTGAGGCATGATTTTGTTCTTATAAAGGCCTTGCCATGTCCTTGAGAATAGAAACAAAGCACCTTGAAGATGTGTCAGCTGTCAGCTTTCTAACCTGCAACACGTTTTTAAACAAGCTACATGCATCCAGATGCAGCCGCAACCTGGAGGAAGAACAATGCCAGGGAGATTTGCTGTTTACACTAACTGAGGTTTAGCCATCTCTCATAAAACCTGCATCTCCTCAGTTGGGCTGTAAATGTTCAGCTTTGTTGATTAATTAAAAAATCTGTGCCTCACGCTCCTTCTGTCTGTGGTTCTCTGCTCTCTCTCAGTCATAGTGGATTATTTGATGGCGTTTGTGGGGAGGAGCCTGCCACAACAGGGATCTCGGCACAGAGAACAGCTTTAATTAGACGGGGCCTCATGCCATGTGCCATCACGGCATGTGTGAAAGTGAATGTGCGCCTGCTTGTGATGGCGCTTTGTCTGAATCTGAACGTGTGGCCATTTTTATTTTCGTGTTTAAGTTATTTTTGCATGCATTTTGTACGTCTACTGAAATGTCACCTCTCTTTACATTTGTGCAAATGCATCTTAAGTCCTAATAGCCTCTCTTTGGTTTGGTACCAGTCTTGAATGCTGGCCAATTGCTTTGGCACAGATAATGTAAATGAAGACAAACCAGTTTCTTTTGTACTCAAACAGCAAGGATCTTCTTTCAATTTAAAACTGCATTTGGGTCTTCATGGGGGGGCGGCGTTTGAAGCCATCATCCTCCCATGAAGCCAGTCAGCAGAGATTGTGAGGATGGGCGCCAGGATGGAGAAGAAAAGCTCGGTGCCGTAGTTGGTTTTGGTTGGTTCAATAACGTGTAATTGTTAAAAAATCGGTGCAGCTTGCTGATTGTGTGACATGTGGAGTATATGATATACTGGCATGAGTCTCAAGCCAATCAAAGCTTTTGGTGGACAAAGGGAGACTTCTAATTGGTTGAGAAGGTTTTTAGGCGGAGTGAGAGCAAACTTGGTGACATCATAAAATGAGGGTCAGGACTTTTAAGGGCCTCTTTGAGCTGAGGGAGGAAAAAAGGCTCAGAGACAACGTCAAAAAGTTTAACTACCTTTTTCAATTTCTTTGATTAACTTAGATTATCATTTTTAACATGCATTTTTACTGCATCTCAAGTCGGTTTGTAAATCAAAAACTCAAGAAAGTTGCAGAATTATTTGATATCTTGTATTTTTTTTTTTTACATTAACAACATTCTTATTTGCCTTTAGGTCAAAGTTTGGCACATGTTTCATTGCCTTGGGTTTGAAAGGATGGGTAGCCTTAGGGGTTGATTGTTATCTTTGGTTATCTAGCTGTATGAGTGATGTACATTCTTCATAAAGCTAGATAACCGAAAGTAACAAGAATCCCATTACACTCCTGGAAAGGCATCAAGACCCGAAATGCTCCGGATTCCAAAATAAAAACATGAAATACACAAGAAGACACATTACAGTAAAGGAGATGGACAGCATTTCAAAGGAGATGGGATCATAAACCAGAATAAAGGTAAGGCACACGTATTGTCCCCCATGTGTTCTATGTCTCTGGGAAGTTACTACATAATTGTGTTTTTTAATTAACTTAACCATGGCTCCATCTTTTTCAGTATGAATTACTCAGTAACTATAGATATTCTGCACAATTTCATAGCACGTCTTTGCTGCTCTCTGCAGCCAGTAGTTCTCTATAACAGTAAATTTTGTGCAACAGGATCACTTTTAATCTAATAAGCCCATGATCCCTGCACATGAAGCTGCATGCAGGGGCTTAGATTTAGTTTCACGTGGCTGGGAGACAAAAACAAAACACTCATTTACCAAAGCAAGCAGATTTTAACAAGTCATTTGACAATGTTGCCTTGACTCTCTAGTTTTGTTAGCTAGTTTGTCAAATGATCTGTCTTTTGACCCAGTATACTGCTTGCATCTTTGGTATCTGGAGAACATGTAACATGAAAAGAACATGTCCCTTTATTAACACAGAAGCTACACACTGTGCTATGAATTATACATAAGTTCCAGGACTGATTTGATTGTGTGATTTAAGAATACTCCCTTCAAATTAATCTTTGGTCCCAACGTCTTGCTGGTACCTAAGTGAAGAAACAAGATTTTGTTTGAGGCTAGTTTTGTTAAGTTAGCCGCTGTTGGTTTATTTTCTTCTAACTACTGGGACTCCCATTCACGCTTATGCCTGAAAAGATGTTTGATTTGGGGGTCCTATAGCTGTTGTCGGATTTGACTTGTCAGTCGGCTTGGTTTTGAATGGACTGTGCTAAAGCTTCTATTTCACGAGGTGCTACCATGTGGAAAAACTTGATGGGATTTCAATGAATGCTGATGCGTGTGGCTGCAAAGCTCAGAAGGGGAGTGGTCCGGGGGCAATCAAGCAGAAACTACCCCCAGTAACGAAATCCACGAGTGAAAGAAGGAGAACAATCTGCGGCTTTAGGATCTTTGCCATGGCTCCTGGTGAGGAGTAATTGGTCAATCAGATCTTCAACCTCAAGGTTTCTGATAGCTGACTGAAGGGGTGATTTTTGTTCTGCCCATCAAAGCCAATGGGTCGCTCCTGCTGAGAGAGGCTGCCAAGAATGGTTTTCAAGTCTTCACAGTTATGTTGCTACAAGTCTTGCAGTAAACCCTAACCATAGAACATATTCCACTTGGTTGCAGCATTGTTCAGACAAAAGAGTTCCTTGGGTTTCGATATAGTTAGCTTGACATGTTACACATTTCAAACCATTGTGCAAGTGCGAAGGGAACTATCTAAAAGCTTGAAATGCCAATTTCTTCAAGTCCTACAGTTATATCTGCCTTCCTGCTGCATTGCAGGGACTGAGTGTGACATCGGAGCTCTGTGCTCGTCTAGTAGTGGAGAGAAATGAGGGCCTTGACAGAAAGTGACAGCCAGGGATGTCAACTTCTTGGATGTCAGCTGAAGCAGATTTTCCCCCCTTCTCTATTGAGTATGTTTTATTATTAGACTCGTAGGCATGACAAAACTTCATTTGTATGCATGTTTGCAACCAAAATTTTGCTTATCTAAGAAGATGTATAATAAAGTTACCCTCTAAAGGGTACAAGATAGACATGTTCTTTAGCGCTGCAGAGCTGTTTTCTTTGCTTCTTTGTCTCAGTTGCACTGTTGAGGCTAAATGTGTGCACTGAAGTCTTGGGCAGATTGTGTTTAGACCTTAAGCAGTGCCTTGGGAGACTCATGTCATGGAGCAATGCTTTGTTCTGGCTGTGTGTGTGGCACAGTTATATCACTAACACTTCTCACTGGGGACCCCAAAGAAGAGACTGCCTTCGTTTCTTCCTCCCTTAAAATGGCACGGAGATGGGAAAGTTCCTTAAAACTGCCTTAGGGCCTTTGCTCTCTCTTTTTCTGTGTCCCGTGGCATTGTCTGAAATCGAAAGAAGGCGCACGGAGAAATGGTGAAGAAGGAAAGAAGCCAGGAGAGAGAAAAGGGAAGGAGGAGGGTGGTGGGTTTATCTTTGCTTTCATGCACTAGGCAAGCAGATTTAGACTCTAAGTGTCAAATAGAAAAACAGCTATTGTGGTCGGGTCCCGCTCACCCCCACACCACTAGACTTTACAGTCAATAGAGCTAGTCCACTTGTCACCGAGGGACAATGCGCCCCTTTTCCTCCCTTTCAGTCCTGCCGGGTCCAAGTAGCCAGACAGTTTTTTGAATGCGACTCAGTGATTCTTGCCCCCTTTTCTCCGCCTCTCTTTCTCTTGACGGAACACACCAACGGGGCTTGGAAAATGGCTTCACTGTCAGGCCAGAGGGCAAAGCCAGACCTTGTTATTTTCTACAACATTGGCAATCCCACCACCCCTCTGTGCTCACAGAGGAATGAATGTGTTGTAGGCAGTTGCAAAGTCAACGGGTCTTATCAGACAAAAGAGATTAGGTTTGGCAACTTTGCAGTGACAGGTGTACTTTGACTTTACCTTGGACCACACGGAAGGTGGCTGCTGCTCCCTGACCCAAAGCTCCGTTTGCCTTCCTGATGGTTTTCAGTAATGTAGAAATGAAGATACAATCGGCATTGTGTTTTTATGACACATGAATACTTATGAGCTTCATTACAATTAAGTTTCTTGTTTTTTTTCTCCAAAATAATTCTGCATGTATCTTTAGATCTCTAGTAGTACCCACCCAAGAGAGAAAGTTAAGGGTAAACAATGTAGGCGCTTAGAGAAGAAAGAAAATGTGAGAAGTACAGCATTGCACTAAAGCATGAATACGTTTTTATATCCAAACTGAGACACTGATGTTTTAGGAGGACAATATTTCAGAAAGAATGAGTGAAGCTTTCTCTGCCCACAACTGTAGTACTATATTCAATCACAATAAATCAAACCATTCAGAAACACTACAAATAGAGACACTCTCAAAGCCAGAGAAAAACAGGGCATGCATTTGTTTGTTTCAGTCATTAATAAAGCTTTTACTGAAAGCCTCTGTCCTCCGAAAAGCCTATTCTGTTGAAATGACTTGGCAAAGCATCCGATGGAGGGTCTTTTCAGGCTGAAGCTGCTCTGGTCGCCATTGTCTAGTTCTCTCTCACACCTACGTGTCCAGCGTAAGCACACAATTTCATTGTTGCGTGAGCTGTTAATATCAGCGGCTCCACAATAGAGCCCATTCGACATATTTGCATAAGGCACTTTTCCAACAAGGACCCAGAGAGGGCTTGAAAGCTGGCCCACTCCAGTGCCAGTGGCAAAAAAATGTCAAGTGCCAATTAGGAGAGGTTTGCCACCATTCAGCAGTACCCCACCCCTGTAGTCCTTCCCCTCCTAGCTAAGCCACCTCAACTCTCTCACACTCCAAGCCACCCCTGGTCTTACCACCGTATTCCACTTTCAGATGTGGCCTTCCCCTACTGACACCCAGAGACAAAGGCTGGCTCCTTATTCTATTGGCTAATGGAGGATCCTTTCTGCTGAGCTTAGAGTATTAGCAAAATCAGAGAGTGCTTCCCTCACTGATTAGTCAGCTTTCTTTATTGATTAGTTTGAATAGAAGGGTTCAGAAACCATACAGCTAAACCTGTGAGAAAGAGACTCCACCTGCTCATGAATGTGGAATCTAGAAAGCTGTCTGGTTTGTGCTTTCAGGGTTTTAGATTCACATGTTTGCCTGCAGGTGTGGGTGATTATGAAATAAAGACAGATGCTGATTTTGAACAATTAAAAATGAAATCCTATCATCTGCTCTTTGATAACAATTTGATTTCTTTCTTTGATTGCTTTGCATTGTACAGTACACATATAAAGCATTCTATAAAAGGTTGCAGCCAGATTATGAAAAAACGAGAATGCAATTTTAGAGTCAGCTTTCAAGGCTATGAAAAATGTGTATTTTACACCAAATCCAAATTAGCTTAGCTGGCGAGTGCCAGTAGTACTAAAGAGCCGTTTATAGATGTTTAATATGCGGAATTAATTTCACTTATGCCTAATTGTAGCTGTCAGACTCAAAATATGTGTTGACTGAAATCTGGAGCATCGTTTGTGTTCTTAAATGTAAGTGATGTAGTGTTTCTGCTGGAAAAGCCTTTGGCAATACATACCCAAATATACTCACGTCCTTGAAAATGACAAGCCTGAAGAATAGAATTAATTAAAAAAAAAAATCAAGTCATAATAAAATAGCAGCGTAACTGCGACTTGTTTTCCGCAGAGCATTTACCTACTGCCTCCTGCCACTCGAAAGGATTTTTCTCTTGTCCCTTTTTCTCTTTTATTCTTTCATTCAATCTCTGTGACGAGCTTTTTTCCTCTTTCCCACCCTTGATTCTCAGATGGTTGGATCTGATTTGCATGCATTTGCATAATGAAAGTCATTTGCATGCTCAGGGGCAGACTGTACCATGAGAACAGACATGAAAAGGTGTGTGTGCACATGTGCGCGTGTATACATGTATTCATGTGTGTATGCATGGCATGGTCTGTATGCTCCTGTCAACGCAACATGTTTATTTTAATGGTTTAACTGTACTATTTAAAATTTCCTCTTACACTCCACTTTTTGTGTCCATGCTTTCTGTACAGGGGGACCTTACCAGTGAGGCAAAACTGGAAAAAGAAGACTGAAAACAGAAAAGGAGGAGGAGGGGTTGCTGTTGATTCTGCCCTCCCTCTCTCATCGC